CTACAATCAGCCATTTTGTTATTAGTAATTTGTTTAGTTTGTTTATGATTATATTATTTGGTCTAAGTGAAATATTAGTTGGAAAAGTCAGAATTGATCACAGTGATGTTGATGATATTGTTGATGATTTAGTAGATTTAGCGTCAAGAAGAAAAAAAGATAAATAAGTTATTTATTTTCAATTCAATTGATATAATTATAGATTTATATAACATATATTTATTTGTTTTTAAAATTTTAATATATATTTCTATCATAAAATCAAATGATGGTAATACGAATCATGTTGGATTTAATACAAATTTAAAAAATAAGATTCCAAGCAATCATTTTTTTTTTATTTTAAAGTATCATGAATTATGGTGCCAGGGTATTTATAAACAGCTTAAAACTTGTAATAATAATTGTCGTTAAATATTTATCAAAAAACGAAAAAGTCTGTGGAAATCAACCTAGCGACTTTGATATTGTTTTTTTGAGTGAAGTAGTTTAGATGTATCATCAATAATCAAGAATTACATTTACATTGTCGAATAGGCGATATTAGTCACGAAAATTCACCAACCACGGAACTCACAAAGAAGATTGTTGTGTCAATCGAAGTTGCCGATAAACACAACTGGGATTATAATAACCTGTACATATATGCAAGGTTACAACCACAACCACATATTGGTTTTTCTGTTCCAAAGAGACATCTTAGCCGCGTAAACATCCGGATCCATCGAAGCGACGAGACATTCTATCTATGGAGAGATTTATTGCGATGGTGTTATATTGATAAGACTTCACGGATATCTGAAGTAAACTTTCACCTTTGAAATTCGTTCAAGTCATGTGATGTCGATGTTCTAAACAATAAATATCAACAACTTTAATTTATCTATCAATAGAATAATATTTCTGAGATTTATATCTTTTTACTGCATATAAAAGCTTTTGGGCATGTTAATCAATTTCTATATATAAATCTCCAAGACCTGAGAAAAATTTTTCGAATTTTTTCAAGCGAAACAGAATCTAGCAGTTTTTTCTAATAATAAATAATTTTTGACGTGATAAATTTTACAGCTACACGAAACCGAATTTAGAATATTAATATTTCATGATATATAAAATGGTCTAGCTTTGAAGCCTTATAACTCAACTTTTCTAATAAAAAGAAAAAAAGTAAACCGATGAAGCTTGGGCCTTTAGCTTTAATTTCATCGATTTAATTTTCTTTTTAATAAGGAGTTGTAAGCTTTTATAATCATTTATTAAAAAGTGCAATTAAACATAATGCGCAAAAACTATATAAACCCCTGAATAATCCTAATTGGGATCTCAATTAGAAGTTCCAGTGACA